GGGGGGGGGGGTAGCGCGGAGACGGCGCTGGGAAGCCTGGGAGACAGCTCCCAAACTTCTGGAGACCTGCTTGCAGTTTCGCTTTCGGGATTTTCGGGATCTTTGGGTTTCTCGAGTTGGGTGGGATTCCCGGAAGGGCAGAGCGCCAGGGGCTGGCCGTGCCCCTTTGGGTGCAATTGTCAGACTTCTCACCCACCCGGGCGTCCCCTGCTTTGCCTTCCTGGACCCTGCGGGCGCGTTTGAGGGTCAGGGTCTCCCCACCCCGCACGCGGCCCCCGCTCCGGAGACCGCGGTTCCCGCGCTGTGTTTTCGGCTCCAGCGGCGCAGCCGCGGCGGATCCGAGCCCACTAGTGGGAAACCACTCTCGACGAGGGGAGACCCAGCCTGAATCCGGATCCATCGCCGCTGCCCTCCACTTTTTCTCACCTCTCCACCCTTGCACAGTAGCCCAGGGACCTGGGAAACCCATTGGCGTGTCTACACCAAGCGAGTGGATCTAGGTTTCATCGGGTCGGAGAAAAGGCGAAAACAGGCTTAAATTCTGCCCCATTTCCCTGAGAGGCAGTTCGGGGTAAGAGGGGCGGGGGTGGAGTCCTTGGTCGTCGGAAGGCATTGTTGGCCAGGCTGTCCTTTGAGATTAGGAGATCTGCTACTTTCTCCCTGCTAAGCATTACATTTGTACACACTCGACTTCCTCCCTTCCACAAATAAATGCTGTCTCAGATCTTTATCTTAGCTCACTGCTGGGACCAAGCTGCCTGCCTGAAGTGGGGCGGTGGTGGGAAACGACACACTCACGCACACCAGAAACCTCCCAGCCCCCTACCAACGTTTTTACTGTGCACAGAACCCCTTCCTGGGCCAGTGTAAACCACTGCCCTGTGGCAGGGCGATTCAGCAGCTCCTACCCTGGAGAAGAGTGCCATCAGCCACCCTGTTCTTAAGTGTGTTGTAGAAGTGCCAGCTGAAACCCGCTGAGGTGAGAACTATTTCCCTCTTCCCATTAGCATACCAGCACCTTGAACCTCAAACAGGCCATCCCCCTGGGATTCACATATGAATTTGCATAATGATGGGAGTCATTTGTAAGCGAGCTTTCCCTCTTCACGTTTCCGTGCAGAAATTATGGACTAATTTTTTGAAAAACTTTGTTAGGTATAAACAGCTAGCTTTATGATTCTTGACTTGAAAAAAGTCAGAATAAGTTTCTGAAGAAAGTGGAAAGCCTTATGGATTCGATTCTCTGTTCTCTTGTATCACAAGACCTTCCTTTGCTGCCCTGGTAGTAGTGAATGTTTGCCCAATCCCGTTTCTGCCCATTTTAGTGGAGGTGGCATTTTTCACCTTTCTCTTCATGCCAGTGCCCCCATAGGACTTGCCCAATCTGAGGAGAAATGCTGGGCGATGGGAACATTGTTCTGAGCAGTAAGTGAAGGAAGGTTCCATTTATTGAGCCAGCGCCTTTGGGATTTCAGAAGCCTGGGCAATGAAACTGTGGACTCTACAGGGCCTATAGATGTAAGCCTAAAAGTTTTTGTCAGGATATCAAAGCAGAAGAGTTCTTTTCAAAGTTCTTTGAACATAAAATGGTGTACCATGGGGTTTGAAATACCTCCAGTTCTAGTATTCTAGGATTGGACATTTCTCTCTTAGTATTTCACTGTTTGGAACTTTTGGAGTTCTTGTGACAGAGTCTCGGTCATAAAGAAGAACTTGTAAGAAGTTCTCATACCAAAATGAAATTAAGATCTGTAATTCAAGACACATTTTGTGTTTTTTTTTTCTAACAGTTCTTACATCTATTAGTATTGCCCTGGTAG